GGTTGTATTTGGAGTAGATTCTGAGCAGAATTGAGTCTCGGAAACAAACTGTCATTACCGTCTCTTGTGGCTTGTTTTTTGCACAGATAGTGGGTATCTTTAGAATTGTGGGGCCACTGGACGTTAGACAGAGTCAAGTGAAGTAACTCCCCTGGAGCCATCGTCACACCATAAGCTAGTCCTCTAAGGGACTTAGGAGCTGCCGTTCCAGTCGCCATTAAATACTGTCTTTACTCCACCTGTCCAGGTGCCGCCGTCTCCTACTGCTGTGTCTCGCCGCTGCCACGCTCCTCCGCAGCCATGCATGTCCCATCACAACTGTGTGTTCTCACCACCGCTGTGTCCCTGCTTCCGCCATGTCTCTTCATGGCGTTTCCCACCATTTCCATATCCGACCATTGCTGTACGCATCGCTTCAGGTCCCATCACCACCACAATCCAGCATCCCCATGTCGCACCACAACTGTCACTTCCCATCGGTCATGTCCAGCCGCTGCCGTGTTTCTCACCTGTCAGTTCTTAGGCCCATTCTTATGCAGCACCAGCCCCCAGCAGCAGGGCTAATTGGACCTTGTGAGGTCTCTGTGCTTGGGAGCTAGCCTCGGAACAACCAGTGTGCTCTTTTTTTCTTCTGTGAGACACGCTCTTAGAGTAGTGTGCAAAAGAATGGAGGAAGTTCAGATCCTGAGCGGACTCAGTGTCATTTTTCCATCCTGCTCTCTCTAGGCATTCACTGTGGAATGGATGTAAAGATGCTTTCTAGAGAAAGCCTTGGGCGGTTCTAATGGATATTTACAGTGGCATCTGCGGCTGAGGTGCTGTCCCCGGCAGACATGGCCCTCTCACCCGCGGCATTGGTGAAAGCTGGGTTCTGTTGACCTGGAGATGCAGTGTTGACGTAGCAGGCCCCCGCCTTGGTGTGGTGTGTTCACACACAGGCTCAGTGTTGTCCAGAGCAGGAGCAAGCGCTGCCTGTGCCTGAGCAGCAGATGGTCCCACAATTTTATCCTACCTTCCTATAATGAGCCGGGAAACTTTCTCTGCTTAAAAATGTGTGTTTATAAACAATTGGCTTACAACGAACACTCCCATCTGTTAGGTGAACATAATTTGCGCAGGAATTCTGGTAAGAGTTGGGGGACTTCACAGCGCTTTTGTATATTTTCCCCTGGTGCGACATTATCCTCGGAGAGTGCACACAGCAGCATATGCCTAATACTCACTTTCCTATCTGCCTCTTCCTGTTGTTTGAAAACAGTGCTATTTTTGTGCATCAGCATTTAAGATTATTGTAGCAATTCATAAGAATTTTACATCTATGCAGGATACTTAAAAAGAGAAAAAAGTAGAGCGGATAACAACTATGTAAGTGTGGTTATGTCGCTGTGATCAAATCGTCCTTGCAGCTTCCCAAAGCTGTGCTCCAATGACCTGTCCTCATAGTCCTCTAAAAACTTTGTTGATTTTGCTTTAACCTGCTCTCAAGCCCCTCGTTCCTGTAATCACAGTACACAACAATCAAAGTGTGCAGCCTTCCAATCTGATTTGTAATTTAAATACACGGCATTGACTCTTTGTGCTCGGTTTGGTATTATTCTGATTGTCTTCACTAATTAATTTTGTTTGGGATGAACTGTTCCCCATAATAGAACAGAATTTTTAAGATTAATGCTCAGCAGTATTTTTTCTTATCATAAAAGATTTTATGAGTCCTGCCATAGGACCACTGCAAGGTTATCAGAGGGAGACTCACTTTGATTAATATTTGCTTACTGCTGAATTGCCCGTATTGTCCAAGTGTTTTATTCTCTTAAAATTATTCCTCTGGGTTCCTTTTCCAGGGTGACTAATTGGACATACTTGAGTAAGGAAGATGAGTGATTAGGTGGATATCAGTGCTTTGAGGTCTGCTTGGCTCTGAGCAAATGGAACGCACTAACACTTTGTCTTTAGCCTGAGTTAAGTTTTTCTGACTGTACTGTGTAAGAGGACATGTCTTCAAAGATTAGACAGCCACAGCCAGAGCATCACCTCTGTTAGGGGAGAGAGCACCCCTAATGTCCTCAGATATCAGGGAGTTTGTGTTCACCCCAGCTTTCCTCTTCATCACCCGCCTCTTCTCAGTGTGAAAGAGATCCAGGCCTCAAGTCTACTCCTTTTGTTCTTCATTCAGAGGTGAGAGTTTTCTTTGTTCTGTCACAGGGTGATACATCGTTATGTTTCATCTACTTAACCCTTCTGGGTAGGCCTTGTACACAATAGGTGAGCACTTGAGGACTGAGTTATAGCCCCAGCGCATATATCCTATTTTATTTTATTTTATTTAGTGTGTGTACAAATGTAAGTGCGCGCAGAGGCCAGGGCATGCTGTAAGGTGTCTTCCTCCATCACTTTCTTCTCCTCCTTAAGCTCTTGAGACAGGGTCTTTCACTGACTGTGGGTCTAAGTTTGTCGCCAGCAAGCCTTAGCAATCTTCCTGTCTCTGCCCCTCTCCACGCTGAGAGCATGCAGCTGTCTGCATTCTTGTTGGTGAGTTCTGGGGATGTGAACGAAGCTCCTCATGCTCGCACAGCACATTCAACACTGGTGTTATAGGTATGTGCATCCATGTACAGGCTTGTTGGTAGGTTCTGGGAGTGTGAACGCACGTCCCCATGCTTGCGATGCTAAGCCATCTCCTCAGCCCACCTGACATGTTTTAATATGATATAGGAGGCATATAACATGTTGTCTATGTATAGTGCACACAGTCCAGTGAGTTTAGAGATAAGCACATGCTGGGACAACCACCGACACAACTTCTTCTTCATCATTTGCAAGGCCTGGCCCCCACCCTGTCTTTGCAACACTATTTTTATGTAGTAAGAACATGTAGGTCTGGCAAGATGGCTCAATAGTTAAGGGTAAGAAGCAAGCTTTGGGGCCAGAATTTAATGGCTGAAGCCCATGTTAAGGTTGAAGGAAAGAGTAGATTGCACAGAGTTGACCTTTAACCTCCACACGAACACCATGGCATGCATATACCCAACACATCACTGACATGAATAATGAACATAACTTAAAACATTCTAAAGGCACACCTAGAACGCGTTTAAGGCCGGCCTTAAACGCGCAATACCGTATTGCTCGCTGTGTATTCTATCCTTACAGTGCAGTGCTACAGTGCTTTCATTTTATGGAACTAATAATCGTTTTGTTGGGGTTTTGGGGGTGCTTTCTCATCCCCCTTATCCTATCCTCCTGTCATCATTGCATACTCTGTTTCTCCTTCTTCGACTGGCTTATTTCAGTGAGCATCATGTCTGTCGGGCCCGTTCATGATCTTGGGAAAACCCTGGCTTTCTTGGCTTAAGGCTATATAGTATTACTTTGGTGCATATCTGTGTTGCATCTCTTTCTATGCTGACATATTCATGGCTTCTTTCTAGAGCTTGGATGGTAAGGAGCATCCGCGAACCTGGGATTCAGGTATCTTCAGTTCCCTTTCAGAGAGGCAGGGCTGTGTCTATAATAGTTCCATTTATAATTTTGCCAACAACACTCTATTCTGTAGCATTGTCTTAGCCTACGTGCCCAGCAGCACCAGACAAAGATGCTCTCTTTTCTCCCTCCTTAGTATGACCTGTTCTTTATTCTTAGGTTTCTTAGGCGCTGGGAGATGTTCTTTAAGTATGGTTGGGGTTTGCATTTTCCTGACGTGAATTCACTAAAGACCTCCTCCCAAACCCCTTGGCCATTTGCCTTCTTCAGTTTAGTATCTTTGCCTGCTGAGTTTTAGGGAGCTCCTTATATGTTTTGACTATTAACCCTTTTATCAGACAGACAGTTTGCACAGGGCTTGTTCTTTGTTTGTGAACATGGTCTCTGATCCAGCTAAACAGCATCTCAGGTCTGAGTCTAGGAGCTGTTGAATTCTCTCCTGTGATCTTTATCTACACCCCTGCTTGCTACGGGTTTCAAACATCCTGACTTACAGAGCTGATGTTGTACTTACAGCAGGACTCTTCTTACTGTCCTGGGTAGAGCTGATGAGGCTTTTAGGAAAGTGTGGAGTGTGAGGGATTATTACAGCCCCAGGGATGGAAACTAGAATCAGTCATTACTATGCAAGGTAAATTATTACATCTGAGACTTTTTCTGTCATCTGAGAAAGCAAAGTTCTTGTCTGTATCAGGCACAGAGAAGGAAAAAGTGGAGGAGCATGCATTATTCTAGAAGACATCTGCCCTGGAGAGCAGGCAGGACTGGCCTGGACCTGGGCCTGCTTTGCCTAAGGACAGCCACAGCTCATCCTGAAGGTGGCAGTGGTCCTCCATACAGAGTGACATGGACTTTGTGTGAAGGAATGCACAGTTCTAGAAACTATTTCCAGAAACTCTGAGATTTGACAGTATGAGAATAAGTGATTTTCTTAGCTTGAAAAGTCTGCTTTAATCGCAGTGACCACTAGTACTTTAATGTTGTCCTACGCCTAACAAAAAAGCCGCCCAAGGGAGGGAAGGTTTGCTTTGGCTCACAGTTCAGGGAGATGCAGTCCAGCCTGGCACAGAGAGCGTGGGAGCTTGAGGCAGCTGGTCACATTGTCCTGGCATCAGGAAGCAGAGTAAACAGAAAGTAGGCCTGCCTCCCTAGGGGTCCACTTTCTCCAGTGAATTTGCATCCTCTAAAGGTTGCTGGTCAATCTTCTGGACCAGCATCACCAACTGGGAGTGAACGGCTCCAACAAGTGAGCCTACTGGACATTACATATTCCAGCCCCACCAGCACGACAATGCCTAATTCACACATGGCTTGTGCTGGCACGGAATACAGAAGGAGATCCTGACTCCATGCAATAATCTGCAGCCTTGTAGGATTCGGGATGTTGGTGAAATAAATTTGCAGTGTCCTCCGTCGGGGAGGGCTTGGGTATGTCTTGAGTACCCTTGAACATCTCCTGGGAGGGACGCCCAAGCCTAGGAGAGGCCTGACCACTGATACTTCTTTTTGGCATTTTGCAGGTATATCATCCCCTCTTTACAGAAGCTGGACGCCGGCTTTTACCGCTGCGTGGTTCGGAACAGGATGGGAGCTCTCTTGCAGAGAAAATCAGAAGTTCAAGTGGCATGTACGTGTGCAGCATGAGCACCGGCCTTAAGTGATGGACAGGGCTGCAGCAGCTGTGCACAGGAGCTTTCTGTTGCGGCAGTTGATGCTTGTCCTTGGTTCCTCTAAAGCGACATGTGCTAAGGGCTGGGGTGTAAGTCAGGCAGCAGAATTCTTGCCTAGCTTGGATAATGCCCCGTGTCCTAACCGTAGCACTAGACTGGGCAGTAGAAGCAGGAGGGTCAGAAGTTCAGGATGATCCTTGGCAGCATAGCGAGTTCAATGGCAGATGGAACAACATGAGACACTGCCTATAAATGAACAAGTGAATCAAAAATAATTAATAAGATAGAATTATGCTTAAGACTGGTAATAGCTCTGGCAAAATATCTCAGTGGGTAAAGGTACTTGCCACTAACCCTAATCACCCCTTGAGTTCCGTGCCTAGGACCCGCATGGTGAAAGGAGAAACGAATTCCTGCAAGCTGCCCTCAGACCCTCACATGGTCCCACACATCCTGTGCCACAGTCTCACAACCACACGCATAAACACACAAATAAATACATATAAATTTTCAAAAATCTAAAACCAAATATGGAGACCCAGGTGAGGTGTTGCCTTTTTTTAACCTGAAAAGATTAAGGGTCTCCCAAACCTGAGGAAGCAGGAGGAGAGGTAAGAAAGGTGCTCCGTATAAATCAGTGTTCCGTGGCTTGTGTGAATAAGGGTTAGAAATACTTTTAGAATGAAAAGTTGAACCCAGTGGAAGTCAGATTTCATTGCCTCTTCCCCATGACCTGTTAGGAAGTCATTTTGCTGTTCAGTAAGTATGGATAGTCATGCCCCAGCTATTATTTATATTGTAGCAATCTAGTCAACAGATCCATTTTGGGGATTGAAACTCTTAAGAGAAGGCACCATGAAAAGGCAGAGGCCTTGAGTGTCTTAACGTCTTCAGGGGCAGGAGACCCGGCCCCTGTGTGTGTGCTTTCCTTGTGATAGGAAGTCTCTGGAGAGTAGGATCTGTCCAGTGGACTGACTGTCTGCCTCGGTATAGTTTGTTTAAAAGTAAGCAAAAGAACATTCTGAAATTTTACATTATAGGACGCCCCAGGCTTGAGGCCACACTGTAGTGTGTCCCTTCTAGTTCTGGTGGTTCCAAGATTGCTGTTTCTAATTTTGGCCCCAGTTATGATCCATAGCTTTACAGTGGCGTGTAAAGTAACGTGAACCTATCTCACTCTCCTAGCAGGAGCTCTTATGTCGGAAGAAGGCCCTATACTATTCATGCTTAGCTATTGTTCCAGCCACTAGGGAGGCAGCAATCTTGCTGGTTTGTGAAGATGAAGTCACCACCAAATTTATCTACAGAATAATTCAGAACTTTTATTCAATAGAAAAATTGAAAACATAATAAATAGAGTGTGGATCAATACCCGAACCATATTTGAGTAAGTGGAGAGCCTGGAATTGACTAGAGCACACTAAATTGTATTTATGAAGTCTGGACTTTGCATGGCGTCTGCACCCTTGTTCCCGTCCTTTGTTTGCCATCGTGCCCTTCTCCCGCTTCCACTAAGCGAGGCTGCTTGCCCACAGTGTTACACAGCTCTTCCACCTGTGCCTTCACAGTGTGTCCTGCCACATAGAAAATAGCTGTTCATGATAAAGCTACAGATGATCGCATTCTTTCCTGGAAGAAAGCTAAAACGAGATATGTTTAGTAATATGGGGTGGTCAGGAGTGGTTGGTGCACACCTCTAACCCCTGCACTCAGGAAATAGACCTCTTCCAGGTCTTGTCTACACAGTGATTCCCAGGCCAGCCAGGGTTACAGAGTGAGACTCTGCTTCCAGAACAAAATAAGACAAAAGAGGAGATAGGTGATGGCTAGAGGGATGACTCAGTCATTAAAGTGCTTATTCCAAAAGCATGAAGAACCAAGTTTGTATCCCAGTACCCATATAGGATGCCAGAGCCAGGCATAGTGCTGGGTAGGTAGATGTGGGAGGAGCCCTGTGGCTTGATGGGCAGCCCGGCTACCCAATTATCAACCTCCAGGTTCAGGGAGAGGTAGTGCCTCAAAGGAAAGAAAAGAAAAGAGAAAAGAAAAGAAAATGGAGATGGATCAAGACAGACACCTGATGATCCTCTGGCCTACATATGGACATATACACAGTACTCGTGTGTGCGTGTGTGTGTGTGTTCATTCCCCCATATTCATATTTGCATATACATGTACACACACATATACACACAAAAAAAGTATCCTGTGGAATTACCTCTGTGTATGCACTGACTGTATCTGGTCACAGCACAGAAAGTGTTTTAACATTTCAAGTTCCTATTTTAAAAAGGAACTTCTCATATCTACAGACTGACGGCTATGAGCTCATTTTGTTTTAGTTGTTTTCATCAGGAGAACAAAGACTGACTGCCCCAAAAGATGTTATCAGTGTGGGGGAGGGTAAGAGAATTCTCGGTGAACTCTCCAATGGCTGGAGCACGTTGGTTCCCAAAGACTTGTGAGGGAGACGTCACCCTAGAGATGAAGAGGTAGATGAGGAGACCCAGGCGGAGGAAGGAGACCTGGGAGGAGTCCGGAAGCATTTCATTTCAGTGTTGTAAGAACTACCTCATGGGGCCGGGGGGCCTTCCAGCACTTATTTTAGTGAGACAGTCAGCTTGCGCAGCCTTTACATTATTGCAGTGCGGCAGAGGCCCGTGGCCTCGCTGATGAGGGCATGCGGGCTGCTTCAGAGGCTCTGCCAGTGCTCCTCTGGCAGTCACGTCTGCGCTCGTCAGCGCGGCCATTCAGTCTCGCTTGTCACCTTGTTAAGCGTGGTGGCAGCCCGGCTTCACTGTAAAGTACAGCTATTTCCCTCTCTGACCCTCATGCCCCCTCAAAAAATAGCGTGCTCCAGAACTTAACCGTCTAATTCTTCTCTGCAGATATGGGGAATTTCATGGATACAGACCAGAAGAAAACAGTTTCTCAAGGACACGCTGCACTTCTGAACCTAGCGCCCATCGTCAGCTGCCCCAGACCACAAGTGACATGGTTTAAAGAAGGACATAAGATTATTCCAAGCAGCAGAATGTAAGTTGTTCCATTGAATGCAGATGCCGTTCATTATGGAGCCTGTGCTGTGCGCTTAATAAGTGAAATGATGGCCAAGTAACCAGTGACCAGAAAGCCTCACCTAGTGTGAGAGCTTCCCCAGTCCCTAATGAATAGCTGTTTTGTGACCAGTTTGGCTATTTTTAGGCAGTTTAAGCAAGTAGCCTTCTGCTGTTACCTTCTGCACGTGGTATACCTGGAACCCAGGGTCTGCTCTCTACCCTGGAGCCCACTTTCTGTGGGCTCACCACAGTCACCCCTGAATTGCACTTAGCCTCATTTACCCAGGTGTTTATTAAACAGTTGTGGGGGCTCTGCCTGCAATTGTCCCTTGAGCCTCAATGTTTGATCCTCCTTTCTGTGACGATAAAGCCCTAATTACTGCTTATTCCTCTTTAGCCTTTCATTCTTCCATGACAGCTTTATTTCCTTTTGTCCAATTAGTGGCTTGCCCATCTATTGCTAATCACCCTGTGAGCAGTTAAGCCCTATCTCAAAGTCTTCCTGCCCCGAGTTCAAGATATGTGTGGAATGTTGGACGGGTTTTCTCCTTTTGCAGCTTTTAGTGATTAAAAAGAAGACTGAGTCCATATTTCTTTTTATCTTGAGGGGGTACATGGAAGAGCAGAGGAGAGCCTTGGGATCCTTTCCTTCTACCTTGTTTGAGACAGAGTCTGTGTTTTGCCACCGTGACCACCGGGCTAATCCATGACCTATCTCCATCTCTCCCCAAGAACGGATCCCTGGGGTCATAGGCACATGCTTCCAGGCCCAGCTTCACATTGGTTCTGGGATCTGAATGTGGGGTCCTCAAGTTTGTGAGTCAATCGCTTCACTGAGCCGTCCCCCTGGTCCTGGACACGTGTTACTTAAGTGGACACTTTGCCATTGAATTGAAAGATAGTAGTGCAAGGATAAAAACCTTCAAGGATAAAATTTTTTAAAAGAATCATGGACTGCTATGTGCTTGGGGTGGGAGGCAGACTCTCAGGCTGCGGAGTGGTTGCTCAAAGGTAAAAATGCACGAGGAGGAAGTCCTTGGGTCAGTTTTTGGAAAGGCTCTGTGGGAGACATTTGCTGGGTGGGCTTCAGGTGCAACTGTGGAAGTTACCTGTGGGCTACCCACCGACTTTCCCACTTAACAGAGCACCGGGGACCTCCCTCTCTAAGCCCAATGCCCACGCTAGCCCACCTTGACTTCTAAACCCTGCGTGGGCCTGCTTACCAAGTGATTCTTTTTTGGCAGTCAAAAATAGAAGAAAATAGAAATATATGTAACAGCCATACTTCAGAATTCTTGTAACAAAAACACCACTTCTTTTCAGTGGTGTGGGTGCTCTGCCTTTTTGTGTATTTGAAGTTCCTTGGATATTCACCTTCGTATTGATTCCAATCATAACAGATGCCTCTTGGGCCTGGGTGAAACAAAGAGGAAGGATCGATATCTCATCGCTGAGGGAGCCGGTTCTGCCGAGCAGAGAGCGGCTGAGCAACAGTGTGGCATAAATGTTCAGGGGACCAGTGTGGAGCACAGGAGGGCAGCAGAAGGTGGAGGAATGCTGGGGTACTGAGAGCGGTGGGGTTGGCAAAGTAGGCTGCATTAGGCTTCTTCTCAGTCACGGAGCCTGTGAAACCACGGGCTGGGAATTTGTGATGTTGGGACCATTTTGTTTTATTTGGTAGCAAATGAAAACATGTTGGTTCATGCATCGACTGTGTGAACCAGCTATGCTTGTTCCAAGTATGAAAGGGGTTCCACTGAAATAACTCTTAAGTTTTACAATGAGGTAACTCCAAATTTCATGGTCTTTTTTTTTTAAACTTGCAGATTCATGCTAAAGCTATTGAATTCCTAATGGTATAATAAAAAGATGATTCGATTAGAGTCCTAAGGCAGTGTCCTATCAAACAAATGGTCTGTTTACAAGCATAAAACTATCGATAGACCTACAGCCTTGGCAGTGTGGTGGTATACCAGAGAGAGGAGATGGGACTGATTATGAATATTTGCACTTCTACAAGGTCCTTTAGTTTTGTGTTTTCCACCTCATCATCGCCCCACACTTCCTAAGTGCCTGCGATGTGAGATGCCATAAATCAGTGCGTGCTGCCTGTTCTCCAACAGTTTATCCACCATTCCAGGATATATTGCTTCTAAGAACCTTGCACTTCTGAGCCAGGTGGCTACACACAGCTCAGAGATGCGTTCTGCTCTGTACCACCAGGGCTGTGTCTAAGAGCTGGAACCTGAACTGCATCACACACTGAGCACAGGTCAAGCGCCTATGCTCGCTGTCAGCCTCTACATGTGCAGTCCCTTCCTGGGGACCTTCTTTGTGGGTGGATCCTCGCCACCACCCTTCTTTATAGCATTATCATGTGACCTTTAAAAGTTGACCTTTGGGCCCAGAACAAAGTGGATTTTTTTTTCTCTTAAAAAGAAGCAGTAACCCAAATGTTCCAAACTTGAAGAATTAGTTAAATAGCCTATTAATAATCCTAGCAGCCATTATTTATTGAGGACCTACTTGAAACATATCTTCTGTAATCCTCAGAATTGCCTTCTGGGTCACTTATAATTAGCTCCACTTACAGCTATCAGAACTCAAGTTTGGAGACACTGACTTACCCTGGGGCACACAGCTGACAGGCACAGAGGAGGCCTGAGGCCTGGGTTCTGACTGCAGAGCCCACATCCGCCTCCCTGTCTGGCTGATTCTCCTGTTTGCACTACTTGACAAATGTGCCTCATGCTTTTGCTCACTTCTTCCATTGCTTCAGGTGTTTTTCCTCATTTACCCTGAAGCCCAGCTTTCAATTTGAAATAACACAAGCTTGAATGGGTTTGGGTAGAGGAGGTAAGATGTGTCAAGTATCAGTATTAGTTCAAAAACAGAATTCCTAGGTTTTCATTTTGGATTGGATGTAGGATGTAAAAGCTGGAGAGAAACATAGGCAGATCTTAAGACCAGAGGCCTGGTCAGCTGGCAGGATGGCGTTACTATTTCCCAAAGCAGACAGAAAATTTTAATTTTAGGAGAGCAGGTTTATATTTATGTTTTATGTGAGTGTGTGTGTGTGTGTGTGTGTGTGTGTATGAGACATAATGTGTATATGTATGTCTGTGTGTGTGAGAGACAGTGTGTGTGTGAGAGTGTGTGTGTATGTCTGTGTGTGTCTATGAGACAGAGAATGTATGTGTATGTCTCTGTGTGTGAGACTGTGTGTGTGTGTGTGTGTGTGTGTATCTGTGTCTCTGAGTGTGAGTGTGTGAGAGGGAAAGAGTGTGTGTGTGTGTGTGTGTGTGTGTGTGTGTGTGTGTGTGTGCGCTCTAAGATGGTAGTGGTTTCTTCTGTTCTTTTTGGGCAAGTTATATTTGGATAAACACAGCCAATGACTATATAGTTGCATATATATCAGTTTCAAGGTCAATAGAGCAGTCTAGGTTGAACTTGGCCTATTAATCTCTTTGCCTATTTGCAAACCTATGAGTACATGGAGCAGTAGGTCAAGCCTAGGGAGTCAAAGTGTATCAGCTATACTGTGCATGCAACAGAGGTTGGCTTTGGCTTTCTTTTCTTTTCTTTTCTTTTCTTTCTTCTTTCTGCATAGAGAAAATTTATTTAAGTGTGCATAGGGTGGCAGAGGAGAGCATTGTGCAGTAACAGGTACCCATGGCCCAGAGAGCATGGGGCAAACCAACAGCTTAATGGTCTCTCAAGGACACCAAAGCCTTAGTCCCTGGAGCTTATAAAAACATGGCTGACAAGGGCAAGGAAAAGAGCTGTTGCAAAAGCAATGACAGATTAACCCCAATGGGAAGAAGGCTGGAAGGGAAGACATAGACACTGAAACTAGCGTGGCTGTCGTTTGTCTCTGAAGCCCCTGGCTGCCTCACACCTTTACTTATCCCTGGGCTTTAACCATGAGATTACCATTCCAGAATCGATGACTTGTACCTTCCAGGGGACCACAGTCTCATTTTTCTCAGCTTCTTCTCGCCTCTGAAGGGAAGAAGGCTCCCCATCTCGCCTGTTATACAGGAGGTGGAGGTAGCCAACAGGGTTCATTGTAACCATCCTGTAGTGGTCCTCATTAGAGTGTAGGGTTCCTAATAACATGTCCTTAAGCTCTATGGCTTTACTCAGAACTCTCATAGAAGAGGACACACTTGCCTGGTGTTGATGGCACATGTCTTTAAACCCAAAGCTTTGTAGGCAGAGGCAAGCAAATCTCTGTGACTTTGAGGCCAGCCTAGTGTATAGACGGAGTCCAGGACAGCCAGGATTACAAAGAAAAAGCCTGTCTCAAATCCAGCTCCCCTATATAACCCCTCCTCACAAAAAAAGGAACAGAAAGAAGAGAAGAGGAGACACTTAAGTTGGCACCCAGTTATTCTTGTGTTAATTCCTCCAGTCTGTAGGACCTGTCTACTTTGTCTTCTTGGGAAGTTTTCTAATCACATTTGGGCTTCCCCCTGGGTGATAACCACAGAAAGCACACATCTTTCCACAACTGTATGGCCTGGTCTATAAGGCAGAGGCTCAGTCCTGGGGGCTGAGTGGATACTGGTTGTCAAGACATGTCAGGAGGCATCTGCACTTCCCCAGCAGAAGGGGAATGAAATAAAAGCAGCACACTGCACAGAAAATGATTGTCGACACAGAAAAACATCCTGGAATGGCAAATGATGTTTTGAAAGCAGCGAGGGTAAGTTATACTGAGAAATTTGAATAGATGATTATGGGTTTTATGTGTCTGAGAAGATATAAAAAAATGCATGTTTATTCTTTTGATTTACTGGATCCAAACAGTTAATTTGCTGTCTTCTCATGTCAGAGTTGAAGACAGCTTTGTCTTATTAATGTAGTCTAAGTTGAAAATAGAAAGTCCGCTGTGTTATCCTGGCTACGATCTGTTTTGCTTCTTTCCTTTTTATTTCTTAAGCTTTGAAATGTGGATCTGGATGCCACGCTGCG